CCATGCCATGCACAGCACGGTTAACAAAAAAGGTCCTCGGTAAGATGAAGGACGAGTGTGCTGGCACGCCCATAGCAGAGTACATAGGCTTGAGGCCCAAGATGTACTCCATCCTGAAAGCCGACAATAGCGAGATCCGGAAGGCGAAGGGTGTCAAGAAGTACGTGGTGAAACAACACATCAAACACGCCAGGTTCAAGGAGGCCCTGTTCAGGGCCCGCACATTCAAGCATCAGATGAACACGCTGAGAAGCGAAGGACACAGGATATACGGACTGACGATAAACAAGACGTCCCTGTCGCCGATGGACACGAAGCGTTTGATAGCCGCCGATGGAATCAACACGTACGCGTACGGACATGAGAAAATTGAACCAAAGACATAGCCGTATGTATACGATGTCATGGAAAGAGAGAAAGTTTGAAGCTATTTACTACAGCCTGCGTGGGTACTGGAAAGGAGCAAGTGCCATACATAAGCTTGCCAAAATGGTGAGAGTACCCGCGGACGAGGCCAAAGCGTGGCTTGAAAAACAAGCCCTGTGGCAGATCTATTTACCGGCACCACGCTACGTGCCTAGAAGAAAGTTCGGCATTGCCGTACCCAATAGCGTCCACCAGGCCGACCTCCTGTTCCTACCCCACGAAAAGAGGTACAAGTATGCCCTAACCGTCGTGGACGTGGCCAGCTGCTACAAAGAAGCCGAACCCTTAACCACGAAAGACTCGGCCCAGGTAGCCCGCGGATTCGAACGCATATACAAGCGCAGCCCGCTGACATGGCCCACCGAACTGCAAGTCGATCCCGGACGGGAGTTCATGGGTGCCATGTCACAACTGCTAGCCAAGCACGGCGTCCAGGTCAAGTGTGGCGTGGCAGGGGCTCATCGCAGTCAAGCCATAGTTGAGAGATTCAATAGGACTTTGGCCAAGCGCTTATTCGGGCATCAGTATGCGAGAGAGATGGCCAACCCGGGAAAACGATCGACGGAATGGGTAGCGCGGCTACCTCAAGTGGTGTCGGCTATCAACCACGAAACCACTCGGCTCACCGGCAAGAAACCGGCCGACGCTATCAAACTGAAATCAGTGACGCTCGAACCGGCTGCACCATTGCGTGGGAAGGAGAAACAGATACCCGACCAGGTCCTCGTGAGGTACCTCTACCAACCGGGAGAACATGAAGGGGACACTCGGAAACGGAGCCACCGACCGACATGGTCAGTCAAAACTAACAACATAGATAAAGTGGACATCAAAGCCGACGAGCCGAACTTGTACTACTTGAAAGATGGGCCAGGGAGAGTTTTCGTCAGAGAGGAATTATTGGTCATACCATGTGACACAATGTTACCCCCCAAGCAAAATATTTAATACTTACCTTGTCGAGTGATCCCAATAGTATCCTATCACATTAAACTGTTTCCTCTCAACACGACATAGTGTCACGTGATCAGGAAAGTGTTGGTTCGCGGTCATAGTGACCAGGAAGTTAACTGGGGGTTCAAACCTGGTATATACAATAGCTGGGAGAGATAAGTGCCTGACAAAAGCTTTATTTCATAAATGAAGCTTGACAGAGGCTTTTGTTGAAATTTATCTCGTACCCCCAGTGTATATACTACTATCATACATCTCCATGACATTTCATCAATATCGTTAGTTATTAGTAGTTCACCCCCAGAAAATAGTGATAACATTTCATCTTCAGATAATAATTCTATTTGTACATAGACATCCACATCAAAGAGATCTATAAGTTTTGAAAAGAAATTATTTCTGTTCTACATATAGTGTTCACAGTATAGAATTATATGGCAGTCATAATCATTACAATATCTTTTGCAGAGTTCACAATATTTTGAGAATTTTCCCCTTGAGCTGATTTGTACACAAAACTGTAATATATCTTCAAATTGTGGGTAAAAATACATCAAACAATACAGCTATGTACACCAAAGAAATTGTGGGTCAGGCTATATCTTTTCTTATTACCCACGTGGTCAACGTATGGGTAGTTACATACTAATCTTGTACGTCACACGAGTGTCGTATCGCGTTGACCTGTGTCGTAACGACTTGACCTGAGATTCTAACGATTTGATTGGATAACCGATGACCTCTCAGTTAGGTCACGTTGTGACGGAACTACTTGTTCATTCATAACAAACACGTGAGTTCATTCATTCTACAACTTAGATGCATTGTGGGAATGTAATTTGTAAACATTGCGAACGTTGCCGTGTCGCTGTTTAATTGTGAGTCGAACTGAGACATTATATCCGTCGAAAAACATAAGCGCAATGTTTCCACCACTGATGTTAGCCGAATGAAGCAACTGCAAACCACGAAACGCGGTGCTACGGAGTAGTTTACTGTAGGAGGCTGTACGAGGCGATGGCAACTGACATGCATCGTGACGTCGGTTACCATGGCAGTGACGTCATCACAGTGTGGCGTCATGCAAATATTGTACTACAGTACAAAACTCTTCCGCAATAACCTCTTTATGACACTTTTGAAACCAAAATATGAACAAAAATCCTATGTCAATTTAATGCATGACGTGGGTAATAAATAAAATACCACACTTTCGGTCATTAGATACAATTATAGGAAGTGACCACTATGGTTTCTGACCTATAATTAAGTATGTAATGAAGACACTCGCTTCGTGATCGAGTGTAGTATGAGACCTCGTGTAGTATTCTGTATATATCTTGCCTTACACACACTTGAGAAACCCATTGTTCAGTTTCAGATTTATTTATACAATTAATAGTTATTCTTTGCCATGATGATTTACATGGAAACCTTCCAAAATCGAGATAGTCACTTAGATAATTGAAGAGATTGTATTTTAAACTGGTTTGAATAAGTGTGTCACATATACTATGTAAGACAGCTGTTCTATTTTGAAAGGTGGCTAAATGTACACAGAAAATATCCTTAAATGAAGAATTACACTTGCTGTTGCACAGCTTGCCGAGAAATAATAGTCTACATTTATCTATATAACCATCCATGCTCCACAATCCAAGTTTACCTAGCACTGAAGCAGAGGTAAAGTGCTTACCGAAACCCTGAATGCATCTGGCAAAATATCTCTGTGTACTTTCTACCAAGTCATAATCTTTACCTCGAAGAATGGGTAAAAGTTCACAACTGTAAAAAGCTCGTTGGAAGTATAATTCTTTTCCATATTTTAACAGAAGAAGTAGGGTGGAGACCTTTACCGTTTAAACCAAGACTTTTTAGAGAATTTACAGATTACCAATACCATGCTTTCTGACAGTTTGAATATACTCTAGATTTTGGGGATAGATCAGACGAAAGTAAAATGCCTCCATACTTAACACAATCACTTATTGGTATGTCTGAATCACCAAATTTAAAAGAATAATTACCCAGATGTTTCTTATATTTGCAGAAAATGACACAGGTGCTTTTAGAACCATTATACGTTAGACGCCACTTACAAGCATAACTATAAATAGTATCAAGTGATGATTGAAGACCTTTTGGAGAAGTGGAAGCAAGTGTTGTGTCGTCAGCCAATAGAATACATGGGATATTAATGCCACTTACACTAATGCCATTGTTCAAATCTCTAAGTTCACATATCAAATCATTAATAAAAACAAGGAAAAACCAGGAAGACAAGACTCTACCTTGCCCAATACCTTGCTTGATAACATATTCATTTGATCTCAGACCACAATATTGCAAAAAGCAGAGCTTGATATATAACTTTGATATAGGAGCTGCCACATTTTGCCTTTTATACCCATTTGATATAACTTTAAAAAGAGTCCATTATGCCATATGCGATCAAACGCCTTCTCATTGTCCATAAAGGCTGTATAAACTGGAGAACCTCTGCTTAGATAATATGATAAGCTTTCATTTAGAGTAAAGACTGAAGTGGTTGCTCCATGTTCCTTTCTAAACCCAAATTGAAGCTTGTCTGGAAATGAGGGTATGTATTCTTCTACCCAGATTTCTAGTCTAGCCAATTTTTCAAAAGGTTTACCAATACAAGAAGTTAAAGTTATTCCTCTATAATTTTTGGGATCATGTTTCTCTTTGTACCTTTTTTATATTGGGATAACTACACCTCTTCTGAAACTTCAATGAAAGTGCTAGGGACATATGCAGATCCTAAAAAAGAGTTAAAAAGTGCTGTTAATGTATTTACGATGTCATCACCACCATAAATAAGATGTTCATTGTGAATACAGTCCGGGCCAGGAGATTTATTTTTGTGGAGATTACTGATATGTTCCTTTACTTCATCACTTTCAATATGTTTACATAAAATATCTTCATCACTTTCAATATGTTTACATAAAATATCTTCATCACTTTCAATATGTTTACATAAAATATCTTCATCACTTTCAATATGTTTACATAAAATGTCTTCTTCACTTTCAATATGTTTACATAAAATATCTTCATCACTTTCAATATGTTTACATAAAATATCTTCATCACTTTCAATATGTTTACATAAAATATCTTCATCACTTTCAATATGTTTACATAAAATGTCTTCTTCACTTTCAATATGTTTACATAAAATATCTTCATCACTTTCAATATGTTTACATAAAATATCTTCATCACTTTCAATATGTTTACATAAAATATCTTCATCACTTTCAATATTTACATAAAATATCTTCATTGCAGGAGGATTGTTTCTGGCTTATATTTGTACCCCAATATAACTGTTGATTTGTGTCATTAACAAAACCATTGTAGTGTCAACTTCTTTATTCAGCATCATTCTTTAAATCGTTAATTCTACAGTCTGTTTGAGTCAAAATAATACTGATGAATCACAATCTAACTTCAGATTGGTTCATGATTTTGTTTTGATTTTCCGTATCGATTTGTGTGAAGTTTTACGAGGGTAAAGTACCAGTAGTACAGTTGCAGGAACAGCCCACAATCACGTGACTGTACTCCTTGTGACCAGTGTTGTATTGTTGCAGGTGGAAGATGTCTCTCCAGGTAATAAAGGATGAAGAGCGTAAACACGATGTTCCAGCGGTGGAAGATGATGCAGGAGATGTTGACGGGGGAGCAGAGGCTGCAATATATGTAACAGCGATCCATGACCATGTGGTCACATACAAGTTCCGAGACCGCAATATAAAAATGGTTGCAGCATGGATGGAACAGTTTGAGGATCACAAAACAAGAATAGAGGTACTTTAATGAAGCTGTACCTTGCTTGTCGCACTGTCAACACACAACGTGTACAACAATAATACAATGCTATAATGTATGCTTATTACACATATATGGGCGGTGGGGTAGCCTAATGGTTAAAGCGTTGACTCGTCACGCCGAAGACCCGGGTTCGAATCCCCACATGGGTACAATGTGTGAAGCCCATTTCTGGTGTCCCCCACCGTGATGTTGCTTATATTTTGCTTAAAGTGGCGTAAAACCCAACGCAGTCAGTATTACACATATTACACTGTATGATAAAATTCATAGCTTATTGAATGTGTCATATTTGTAAATATGATTGATAATAAGTGATGCATATTGTTTCTCATTGATTATTTAGGGGCAGTGAGGTAGCCTAGTGGTTAAAGCGTTTGCTCTTCACACTGAAGGTTCAACCTACTTACCATGTATATTTTCTTGTCAATCTCCCCCTGGTGACAAGTAATCACTACTGTATCAATATTATGCTATTATTCATACAATTAATTTATGCAAAAAGATGTTTATTAATTGTGAGTGATTACTTCAGTGTGAATAATTGTCTTTAGATTTCTCCTGATTGTCATGCAGTCTCATTTCACTGAATGACACTGGGGTAACCTAGTAGTTAAAGCGTTTGCTCATCACACCGAAGACCCAGGTTTGATTCCCCACATGGGTACAATGTGTGAAGCCCATTTCTGGTGTCCCTCGCTGTAATATTGCTGGAATATTGCTAAAAGCAGCGTAAAACCACACTCACTCACTGAATGACAGGGAATATCCAATGTATCTGTGACTGTGTTTATGCATGTTCCTTTCCATGAAGGTGTGTTTTCAATAAAATGAGGCAGTAGTTCTCAAGTAAAAATGAATATTTGCCTCTTACCATGTTCGAAATCATTGACTTGTATTTCAGATATTGGGCTTCATGGCTTGACTTGTGGGCAAACTGGTACTGAGTATAATCAGAGTACTTCTTGCTTGTAGCAGAGAAAGATTGTGTTATCTTTCTCATGCTTGTAGTATTTGTAGTGATACTGTGAAAAATCTTAGGATTTGGGGTAGAATTGATCTTACGCAACCCATGCTTGTTGTAAGAGGCAGCTAACAGGATCGGACGGTCAGGCTCGCTGACAGGTTTGTCATTGTATCCCAATTGCGTAGATCGATGTTCATGATGTCAATCACAGGATTGTCTGGTCCAGATTTGATTATTCACAGACCACCACCATATAGCAGGAATAATGCTGAGAGTGGTGTTAACAATAAACAGAAACATATAAATAGTATTCAGTTACTGAAGTGAGTTTCTACATGGTAAACATATAAATAGTATTCAGTTACTGAAGTGAGTTTCTACATGGTAAACATATAAATAGTATTCAGTTACTGAAGTGAGTTTCTACATGGTAAACATATAAATAGTATTCAGTTACTGAAGTGAGTTTCTACATGGTAAACATATAAATAGTATTCAGTTACTGAAGTGAGTTTCTACATGGTAAACATATAAATAGTATTCAGTTACTGAAGTGAGTTTCTACATGGTAAACATATAAATAGTATTCAGTTACTGAAGTGAGTTTCTACATGGTAAACATATAAATAGTATTCAGTTACTGAAGTGAGTTTCTACATGGTAAACATATAAATAGTATTCAGTTACTGAAGTGAGTTTCTACATGGTAAACATATAAATAGTATTCAGTTACTGAAGTGAGTTTCTACATGGTAAACATATAAATAGTATTCAGTTACTGAAGTGAGTTTCTACATGGTAAACATATAAATAGTATTCAGTTACTGAAGTGAGTTTCTACATGGTAAACATATAAATAGTATTCAGTTACTGAAGTGAGTTTCTACTTGGTAAACATATAAATAGTATTCAGTTACTGAAGTGAGTTTCTACATGGTAAACATATAAATAGTATTCAGTTACTGAAGTGAGTTTCTACATGGTAAACATATAAATAGTATTCAGTTACTGAAGTGAGTTTCTACATGGTAAACATATAAATAGTATTCAGTTACTGAAGTGAGTTTCTACATGGTAAACATATAAATAGTATTCAGTTACTGAAGTGAGTTTCTACATGGTAAACATATAAATAGTATTCAGTTACTGAAGTGAGTTTCTACATGGTAAACATATAAATAGTATTCAGTTACTGAAGTGAGTTTCTACATGGTAAACATATAAATAGTATTCAGTTACTGAAGTGAGTTTCTACATGGTAAACATATAAATAGTATTCAGTTACTGAAGTGAGTTTCTACATGGTAAACATATAAATAGTATTCAGTTACTGAAGTGAGTTTCTACATGGTAAACATATAAATAGTATTCAGTTACTGAAGTGAGTTTCTACATGGTAAACATATAAATAGTATTCAGTTACTGAAGTGAGTTTCTACATGGTAAACATATAAATAGTATTCAGTTACTGAAGTGAGTTTCTACATGGTAAACATATAAATAGTATTCAGTTACTGAAGTGAGTTTCTACATGGTAAACATATAAATAGTATTCAGTTACTGAAGTGAGTTTCTACATGGTAAACATATAAATAGTATTCAGTTACTGAAGTGAGTTTCTACATGGTAAACATATAAATAGTATTCAGTTACTGAAGTGAGTTTCTACATGGTAAACATATAAATAGTATTCAGTTACTGAAGTGAGTTTCTACATGGTAAACATATAAATAGTATTCAGTTACTGAAGTGAGTTTCTACTTGGTAAACATATAAATAGTATTCAGTTACTGAAGTGAGTTTCTACATGGTAAACATATAAATAGTATTCAGTTACTGAAGTGAGTTTCTACATGGTAAACATATAAATAGTATTCAGTTACTGAAGTGAGTTTCTACATGGTAAACATATAAATAGTATTCAGTTACTGAAGTGAGTTTCTACATGGTAAACATATAAATAGTATTCAGTTACTGAAGTGAGTTTCTACATGGTAAACATATAAATAGTATTCAGTTACTGAAGTGAGTTTCTACATGGTAAACATATAAATAGTATTCAGTTACTGAAGTGAGTTTCTACATGGTAAACATATAAATAGTATTCAGTTACTGAAGTGAGTTTCTACATGGTAAACATATAAATAGTATTCAGTTACTGAAGTGAGTTTCTACAAGGTAAACATATAAATAGTATTCAGTTACTGAAGTGAGTTTCTACATGGTAAACATATAAATAGTATTCAGTTACTGAAGTGAGTTTCTACATGGTAAACATGTAAATAGTATTCAGTTACTGAAGTGAGTTTCTACATGGTAAACATGTAAATAGTATTCAGTTACTGAAGTGAGTTTCTACATGGTAAACATGTAAATAGTATTCAGTTACTGAAGTGAGTTTCTACATGGTAAACATATAAATAGTATTCAGTTACTGAAGTGAGTTTCTACAAGGTAAACATATAAATAGTATTCAGTTACTGAAGTGAGTTTCTACATGGTAAACATATAAATAGTATTCAGTTACTGAAGTGAGTTTCTACATGGTAAACATATAAATAGTATTCAGTTACTGAAGTGAGTTTCTACATGGTAAACATGTAAATAGTATTCAGTTACTGAAGTGAGTTTCTACATGGTAAACATATAAATAGTATTCAGTTACTGAAGTGAGTTTCTACATGGTAAACATGTAAATAGTATTCAGTTACTGAAGTGAGTTTCTACATGGTAAACATATAAATAGTATTCAGTTACTGAAGTGAGTTTCTACATGGTAAACATATAAATAGTATTCAGTTACTGAAGTGAGTTTCTACATGGTAAACATATAAATAGTATTCAGTTACTGAAGTGAGTTTCTACATGGTAAACATATAAATAGTATTCAGTTACTGAAGTGAGTTTCTACATGGTAAACATGTAAATAGTATTCAGTTACTGAAGTGAGTTTCTACATGGTAAACATATAAATAGTATTCAGTTACTGAAGTGAGTTTCTACATGGTAAACATATAAATAGTATTCAGTTACTGAAGTGAGTTTCTACATGGTAAACATATAAATAGTATTCAGTTACTGAAGTGAGTTTCTACATGGTAAACATATAAATAGTATTCAGTTACTGAAGTGAGTTTCTACATGGTAAACATATAAATAGTATTCAGTTACTGAAGTGAGTTTCTACATGGTAAACATATAAATAGTATTCAGTTACTGAAGTGAGTTTCTACATGGTAAACATATAAATAGTATTCAGTTACTGAAGTGAGTTTCTACATGGTAAACATGTAAATAGTATTCAGTTACTGAAGTGAGTTTCTACATGGTAAACATATAAATAGTATTCAGTTACTGAAGTGAGTTTCTACATGGTAAACATGTAAATAGTATTCAGTTACTGAAGTGAGTTTCTACATGGTAAACATATAAATAGTATTCAGTTACTGAAGTGAGTTTCTACATGGTAAACATATAAATAGTATTCAGTTACTGAAGTGAGTTTCTACATGGTAAACATATAAATAGTATTCAGTTACTGAAGTGAGTTTCTACATGGTAAACATGTAAATAGTATTCAGTTACTGAAGTGAGTTTCTACATGGTAAACATGTAAATAGAATTCAGTTACTGAAGTGAGTTTCTACATGGTAAACATATAAATAGTATTCAGTTACTGAAGTGAGTTTCTACATGGTAAACATATAAATAGTATTCAGTTACTGAAGTGAGTTTCTACATGGTAAACATAAATAGTATTCAGTTACTGAAGTGAGTTTCTACATGGTAAACATATAAATAGTATTCAGTTACTGAAGTGAGTTTCTACATGGTAAACATATATATATTTCAGATATCCCATGGTGACATATTCAAAGACGCTCCCTCAGCTGATGCTCTGGTAAGATCAACATTATATCAGGACTCTGATAGTGTTCACAGGTCTTGGAAACAAATAGTAGAACTATGGGAAAATGGTACTGAAGTGTAACTGTCTCCCCAAATTCAACTAAGAGAGCCGTCAGTATAATGTCTATCAAGCCAAACCAACTTTTGATGTGAGCAGATCTCTATGTGTGCATACATTCTTAGCCTTGCTCCAAGGCTATACTGAGTGCTAAGCCCATGCATGTACAGTAATTCTATCCATTAAAGAGGCAAGTCTAGATAATGGGACAGGACCCCTGTCTGTTATGTATATTGTTTTAGAAACATTTAAACTATTAATTCTTACCTTAGAGACTTGTGCAAGTCTACTACATTCTTATTATAGTGCATGGCATGTGCCCCAGTTATGTAACCAATCTTGAACACTGTCTGTGTTTTGTGAATCAGAGTTACATTTCCCATAGTGAGTGCTGGCATTGACTGAGCTCTGTCTACTGAAATATGGAGTAATGGTGGAAATAGATGTGTTTACAGAGGTGGATCCAGAGGTGGGGTGTGCCGCACCCCTTTGTCCTGAAACTGCGGGTGAAACTGAAGTGTGCACCCCCTTTTTCTCAATAGTGTGCACCCCCCCTTTCTCAAAAAGCTGCATCTGCCCCTGGTTTATCAGTTTAACTGAATATTTCACAAGATCCCACAGTTCACAACAGATGTACTTGTACTTTCAGGTTTCCCCTGCCAACAGTTTTGGCTTCATGGATGGTGGGATCGATATGGCCTACAGCTTGCACTTCCGCTGGCAGATGTGAGGATCTTTTAGTGTCACATAACCATGTCATTAGGTGTGTCACATAACCAGTATCACACAACCATGTCATTAGGTGTGTCATTGATGGATGGTGGGGTAGAGTCCATAGTGGTCTCATCTGACCTTATAGTTTCAGTGTTCACTCCACTTGTCACCAGTATGTCCACTCAGGTACTGTCTGTTCATCAGAGGATGGTGGTGGCATAGCCAAATGGTTGAAAAGTTTCAGTGTTCACTCCACTTGTCACCTGTCTGTTCATCAGAGGGAGTGGAAGACAAGGGTTTGATTCCCCACATGGGTACAGTGTGTGAAGCCCATTTCTGGTGTCCCCTGACGTGACATTGCTGGAATATTGCTAAAAGGGGCATAAAACCACACTCACTGTGTTCACCAGATGTTTTTTAGTGGTATGCTGTTCTCTGCAGTCATCCACACGTGATGCTGGCCTGTCAACACTCAACTTCTTTGAGTGGCATTTTAGACATTGGGAAGTACAATACTGACTTATTTATGGATAACAACTTTTATTTTGTGAGTACAACTTTCAGTACAGGTTCTTATACCATACTGAAACATTGTACTCACAAAAATAATGATGTTGTTATCCATAAATATGTCCGTATTGTCCATAAACAAGTCTGGATGAAGTCCTGTCTTTGATGGGTTGTGTGATAGCATTGTGTTGCTAGATTATTTGTGTATAATGGGAGGAGGGTTTGGGTGCAGCAAGAATTTATCTTCGTCTTTTTTTCGCAGGCAAGAAAGACTTCAAAACATCATCCGCACTGAAAAACATGGTGAACTTTTAGTGGTATGTGACTCATTAACATTTGTTCTGATGTCTAGTTGTAACATGGAGGTTCATTCATAAGATTAAATATGAAAAGTCTGATATTAGTCTTGAGGTAGTGAGGTAGTTTGACGTAATAGTGTTCACTCTCTACACATAACACAGAGTTTGACTCCCAACATTGGTACAACATACAAAGCCCATTTGGGGTGCCCCCTGATGTGATACGACTAACAGTCTGATAAAAACAGAAATAGATCATTCTTTCTCCATGTTCTGTCCATCAGGGAGATGCAATCATCATGCCAACATTTGAAGGCGGGGCTAAAGAGGACTCCATGGATTGGTCAATGACGAACGAGGGCCAGCCAATCAAATGGCTGATATCAGCTCCAACAATGAGAGTCCCAATGACTGTGAAGGGCACAGTTAATGCATACCTTGCTTTCAGGGCTGTTATACTGGCAGGTATATACAACACTTTTATCCTCTTGTATATAGAAATATATATTGCACATGATTCAGTGACATATGATTATTAGTAAATATTTTGTTTGACATGTTTCCATATATGTTTTAACAGTAAGGCCACTAGCAGAAGACTGTTTCATGATTAGTGTTACATTCTTCCTCTGAACAATTTCATATTTACATTTTTTCTGCAGGTTTGCTGCTAGGCTATGATAAAATTTTGATACTTTTTGTAATTGATTACGTACAGTATACATATTCCTATGACACCTTCAGTCTTCATGTGAATCGACCCATGAAGGTCCGGGTTAGATTTGGCCTTCAGTAGCCCATGTTTGTTGTAAGAGGCAACTAATGGGATCAGGTGGTCAGGCTCGCTGGCTTGGTTGACACGTCATCGGTTCCCAATTGAGCAGATCAATGCTCATGCTGTTGATCACATGATTGTCTTCAACTGACTCGATTATTTACAGACCGCCACCATATAGCTGGAATACTGCTGAGTGCGGCGTAAAACTTAATTTACATGAATCAAATTAATCAACAGTTAATGTGCATAAGAATCTTGAATCGTTTGTTTAAAATTAATAATTGTAAAATACCCATGGCTTCATTCATTGATCTAAAATCAGCACAGTGTTGATGCCAGGAAACTAGGACAGCGGTGGGGAGGATGCCAGAGACAGACAGTGCATTCATCACCTCACAGTCAACTGAAACTGCTTGATCCAGGTGGCTTCATTCATTGATCTAAAATTGTGGCTACACGACAATATCATCACTTCAATAACTGAAAGTGAGGTTTCCCAAACGTTTATGTGTAGTGTTTGCTGGATTAGAGCTGAAAGCAGCATAAAACCAACTCTGTAAAATAATATACATGGTATTCTTAATCCCTGCATATAAGGAAATGCCCATCAAAAACAAATTAGAACTGAAAAGGTAATTAATCTTGTCTAGTGATGTTTAATTGCAAATTTGATGTCTTTACCGACAAAGTTGTGGTCTCTTGTTCGTTCACGCAAAGTGATACCATGTAGTTTTCTTTCCCCCTGAAAAAAGTTTGACAAAGTGTAGATAAGCCACCCCCTTCTACAGACTGCTTTTTTGGTCCTCAAAATTTGGGTTATCTCCGGTAATATGCGGTACTTGTATTAAGTATTTGTTTTCAAGGACATCAAGTATTGTGTCAACGATCCCGCCATTATCATGTTACATGTGTTACCATGTTGTCCACAGATGCTGCAGGCGTACGAGACATTTGAGTTAAGTCTGAATTCACCCCTCATTTCACCAGAGGAACTTTACGACATCAGCAATCATCACCATATGATGGCAGATGTAAGTTGGCTTCGTTGACTAATGTATGTAGTGAGGGAAGGCTTGTTCCAGCTATATGGCGGTGATCTGTAAATAATCAAGTCTGGACCAAATAATCCAGTGATCAACATCAGCATTGATCTACGCAATTGGGATTCGATGAGATGTGTAATCCAAGTCAGTGAGCCAGACCCCCTGATCCCGTTAGTCGTCTCTTATGACAAGCATGAGTTACTGAAGAACAATTCTACAATTCTAACCGGTAGAGGTTGTGCAGTTGTTGAAATGGGAAAATTTCTTGTATAACCATTTTTGAAAAGGTTTGTGGGTAACTCACTGTGAAAGCTCTTTTTCAGTCATTTCATTTAAATATGTTATCAGCTGCCATCACATAGCCATTATAAAGAATGTATCATTGAACACGTAGAAGATGCTAAATCAAGATGTTTGTCACCTTATGTTCACACTTTCATGTTTTTCAGCCATCTCACTTTAGCTAGGAGCTGATCTGACATGCAAGTCTCACCTGTCTTACAGCTCAAAGACATGATGTTGGTGAACTCAAGTTCAGAGAAGGGTCAGCCATAAAGGATTTCAAATAAATCGTTACAGCTTGTGTTGTGAAACACTCAAAGTGAAAACCAAACTTACGAATAACAACCTTTAGGATGTCAGGTATGAGGAAGTCACTCAGAGTGCATCCTCGCTCATCCAGTGTACTTTATCAACATGCAGTTCAGCCATTTACTCTTTTAATAGCGTCTTCGTGTCTGCCAAGCAATAGGGAAGGTTCAATAGGAATTGAACCACTTCCTGCTTTCTTACCACACCAAGCTGATATGCTGTGATATAAGGCCATCCATGTTTTTTGTATGTTTGTAAAGTAAAGTAAATGTGCCTCAAACAATTTTTATTAAGTATAGAAGAAGATAAAGTCGATGTGGATTTTTTTGAGTGTGGAAGGGTAAGGGTGTTTTTCTTTAGCACATTGGGAACAAAATCCATTAGCGACAGGAACAAGAGGACTTTTCATTCTGTCAAATGGGAATGAAAATGCTGGATGAGGAAAACAAGAAACACAGGAAAATATATGGACAGCCTAAAGTGAAATATTGTTCAATTTGAAATTAATTCTTTGCATAATAGGATGTAATCTATGTTGTGGCATGAATGTAACAATTTATTTACATGCTCTAAATTATAGACTGTAGAACAAATATATTTGTTATTCTAATTAATGCCAGTGAAAATATCTAAGTCAAGCTTATATTGTATTATGAATTGTATATATATTGTAATAAACATACACTGCAGTATTCTTCCGATGTACTCCAGTACTATTGAAACAGGTGTGAAGTTTAGAAAACTAAAGGTATATACATGTAGTATATTGTACAAATGCCATTGTTCTGTACATTTGTCGTGTCAAACAACTGATGACGTTTAGTTTTGTGAAAAATCTATTGCCAATCCCTGAATAATGGCATCAACAAGGTTACTTCTATATTTGCAAATGCAGTTATTCCATGCGATATTGTGGTGTATTCAATATACTGTTGTGTACAACTGCCAATTTGATGTATGATATATCCTCATGCAGTAACCCATGCAAGAGGGGACTAACAGCCTCGGTTAGAACAGGATCGGGTGGTCAGGCTCGCTGGCTTGGCACACGTCATCGTTTCCCAATTGCGCAGATCGATGCTCATGCTGTTGATGACTGGATTGTCTGGTCAAGACTCGATTATTTACAGACCGCTGCCATATAGCTGGAATATTGCTTAGTGTGGCATAAATCATCTCAGTGACATTGCTCACACTTTCAAGGCACTCCTGCATTCTGATCAGCTGAAGAAAGATCTTGATTTGAGCTCCATCCATCCGGATGGGGACAGATTCTCAGAAACCAAATTTGGTGTGTGTTTTCAAGACATGAATGCCTTGATGGTGTTCGAAACCGTGTTACAGAGTTATGGCCCTTGTCATGCGTTCCCTGACATGGTATCCCAAATGGGGGCAGATAGGGAAACCAAATGTGGTATGTGTTTTCAGGACATTAATGTCGTGGTGGAGTTAAAAAAACAGGAACCAAACAGAACACTGTGGAATGTTATGCCATCACTGTATAATCAAATAACATTGTAGGATGAAGCGTGTTTATTTCTGATGAAGACTACCACAGCAACTTGACCTTGAAACAGCAGCTAGACTCTGCGGCATCACGATGAATTAGGTACAAAATATTTGATCCTCTCATAAATAATCCACAGGATCCTGGCCGCCAGAGGCTACTACCTGTGCCTTCTGGTGACAATGTTAGACAGTTCTCCACACTGATGGCACCACTTGTTACACACACCAACATGGGTTCACAATGTCAATGATACATGAATTGTCCTTGCGACATTTTGTTCACTTCTACTGAGCAGCCTGCTCCAACTCCCCAGCAGGTGTGTCGGGCTCCTCGTCATTGTAGATGTTCTCCGCCTGGACAACAAGACAATCATATAACTTGGCAATACTTTACAATTGAGACCTGCTTGGTTTATATTTTCTTTACCATCAACTACAACTATTATTTCCTCCAAGACGTTGTATTGTCAGACTTCTACAAAGTCCCAAATAATGTGCAGTAAAACATACAACTGAGAATTTACTTCAGAAAATATTATATTGAAATGAAAATTCCGGAGACTCACCATCTGCCAGACTTGCATGATGTTGTCTTCTGACACAGAGCAGATTACCCAGGGTTCATTGGGGTTCCATGAGAAATCAGAGATCTTAGCTGTATGGCCTCCATGTATGAACTGTGCAGAAAGAGTATATCTAATGAGAACCAAACTTCTATATTCCATACCATATATTCTTTTGGTGCCTTACACACAAACATATTAGGGATATTCCTCACCCGATCTAAAGGTGATATTTACACCACTTGACATCAGCAATATTCTCCGACACAACTTTAGTTGCTTCAGCGGCAAGCATAGTTTGATGAGAACAAGCATTTTAGCCACAATCACAAGTTATGAAAATGTAGAATAATAAATCAATCAACACATTTAATAACAGAGAAAGCATACTACACTGAATCAGTTATATTCAAGGTCTTGCCTTCCCATTCATTATTTTAAGTCTTTCATATTTAGACACGCATTCTCTGAGGACCTTACTGATTGAAATAAAACTACTCGAGAGCATATTTTGAGTCAATAAGCTGAGTTATTGCTGGGTCTCCTACAAACGCCCAAGTCTGCCAATTTTCATGCAGTTTGATTATTATTATAACACAAAGTATTATTTATCAGGGTACAGTAAAAATGTTCGAGATTACCATAACACCGGAAGTTATACACACAAAAGACATGGAGATGAAAACTGGTAGAGCCAGCTGACTTCAAACACGGTAACTTACCAGCAACTCAGGTGGGCCATCTTCTGCATCCTCAGCAGACTGCTCCTCCCCAATCTTACTGTAAACACGAGACAGGTAGTGTCAGTACTGGTATCAAACAACTGACTTGACAAGTGCTGACTTCAATCCCATAAGTCAACCCTTTTCTCATAATACTGCTTAATGTCACATGTCTACAAGACATATCAATGCCTAACCCTACTCTCCCAAGGAACTCAACTGTGAAAGTTTCACTATGAGTAGAGGTTCAACTTACCTCAGATCCCATACATGCAGCCTCCTATCAGTGCCGCTAGATGCCAGGATCGTCTCATTATGGGGGGACCACTGAACCTGAATGAAGGGAGCACACAATATTAGTCAAATCTAAAAATGTTTATATTTGTACACTTATTACAAATTTAACAATAAACAGCTGAAACTTAGAATGAATGATTCTGGTCTGTGTCAGATTGCATTTAGCACTCCTAGGACCAAGACCATCTTTGCTTCAATATTACGACACAGAATAAATCGCAGACTTAATAGGAATTTTTGACAGACGAATGCATACATGGACAAAAATGATGGAATATAGATTACGAATCACTCCTCACACATCTTTGTGTATTTTACAGTAGAATACCATAAACTACAGCGAATCATTTTAACTTTTATCATTTTTTCAAGCATGTAGTATTACCTGGAAAATCTCGTCTTTGTGCGACTCAAATGAATGCAACTTCAATTTTAGATTCCTCAAGTCCCACAATGCAACAGTCTGAAAGCAGAACAAAGTTCATTATTAGTTATCATTCAGAAATAATATTGACAAATTGATCATGTTAATCACTGTCAACAATTTTTCAATTATCCCAGGCAACAATATTGGAACAAGACACCCAGTGTTCATGCTATGGCTTCATACCTTGTCTGCAGATCCTGTGGCCAGAATAAATTCACTGTAGGGGTTGAAGGAGAGGCAGTTTACTTCAGCTGTGTGGGCGTCCACGGTGTGGCTGGGCTTGCTTGTGTTGTTTGAACGCGTGTCCCAGCTGAAACAAGAATGTCATCATTATGCTCTCGCTTCAAGCACAAACATTTTTTTAATACCATTTAAGGCCTTATAAAAGACCAAATCAACAATTTTAAGGCCCTAACATAATACAAAAGTAGTTGAATAAACATGAGATTGGTCGAATGTGGGATTGAGGGATGTCACTCTTAGCTATATCACAGAATATGGAAAGGTTTTCTATATGATCTGAAATTAATTAACACCAATTGTCACTGCAAGGTACTTTTATTGTATTAGGTTCATGTAAAATCATAACTTGACAAGTTTTGCTTAATTTAGGTCCTTTTCATGGCAAATCACTGGCACTTAGGGCCACATCAAGGCGAAAAGGAATTTTGGGGCCTTTTAGAGTAAAACATTCAAATTTCAGGTTACTTGTGCACTGCTTAATTGGCAAATATGTTACACATCTCTCAACCCTGTGATTGTCCCATCATGAGGTGGATGAGTGACCTTATCACATAGTACCAATAATCTTTGCACCTTCAACTGTAACTGCACGGACTGTGAAGACAGTGTACACCACTTACATCATCAGCTTCTGATCATCAGCCACAGACCCAAACAGACTTTCATGGAGAAGATGCCAAGCTACATCCTGCAAGTAGAAAAACGTCATATATATTAAATTACTACATAACAAATCTTTCTTTTTCTCTAAAATCTGTGAAAATCTTTGATTACAGACACAAGAATAGATTTTAAAATGTATTGAACATGCAAGGAATTTTTTTAACACAATGTCCAGTACACAAAATGGCAAATACACAGAATTTTCCCACTCACCTCCACCACAGACGTGTGTCCAGTGAATATTGTGTTGGCGTCAATGACTTTATCCTTTGGTGTAGTGTTTATGTCCCACAAGCATATTGTCTGCAAATAAACGTAAGAGTAATTGAATGAGAGACTGAATGTTGCTTAACATTTGAATAGGCAATGTTTCTGCAAGATCACAGTGGTCTGGACTGACAAATCAGTGACTGAATGAATGAGCACCATTCTGCAAAACTGCAGCACAAAGTCAGAACCTCATCTAAACATCAGATGAATTTTAGTTGAAGAATGGTCATGCCTTGTTTACAAACGTTTACTTTTCTCTTTTAAAATCCAGAATCAATATGACACTCTAACGTTCAAATCTTTAAGAACTGTAGCATTATGAGTGAGTGAGTTTAGTTTTACGCCGCACTCAGCAATATTCCAGCTATATGGCGGCGGTCTGTAAATAATCGAGTCTGGACCAGACAATCCAGTGATCAACAGCATGGGCATCAATCTGCGTAATTTGGAACTGATGACATGTGTCAACCAAGTCAGCGAGCCTGACCACCCGATCCCGTTAGTCGTCTTTTACGACAAGCATAGTCGCCTTTTATGACAAGAATGGGTTGCTGAAGACCTTTTCTACCCCGGATCTTCACGGGCCACTGTAGCATTATGATAGAAAACAACAAATTCATAAAGAACCTGAGATATTCACTCAAGGCTTTTCCAAATAGAAATTCATCATTAATCACAAACTTTGCTATGTTTGTTCACTCACATGATCATCAGACGCACTAAGCAAATGACCATTGAGATTTGGGTTCCATGACAGTCCATATCTGAAAAATAACAACACACTCATGAGATTAGCTGATAAAGTCACAAATGACTACAGTGTTGCATCTAGGATTTGCTCAGTGTGGGTCATGCAAAGATTCAACTTTTGCCGTGTAGGTAACATGTACATTGAACCCATGTACAGAATCAAACCCGGGTCTTTAGCAAGAGTGAGTGAGTTTAGTTTTACACCGCACTCAGCAATATTCCAGCTATATGGCGACGGTCTGTAAATA